CAAAAAGAAAGTCTCCTTGAAAGGAAGTTGGCTACAGTGTTGTGAGCTAGATGCTACTGGGGGTAGCTCCAGCAGTTCACTTTCTTGTTGCAGTGGTTTTCAAACGTAGGAAATTAATTCACTTCTCCAAGAAGAATTATTGTTTTTTTTAAAAATTTCCACAATGCAGTATATAAGCATTGGAGGACTGGCAAAACTGAAAATAGTTGGGTTGGGGCACTAGGCTTTTGGATAACATTTTTCAACTATGAATTTAAAAAGTATATTTTTAAAATTTTTAGAGAGAGAAAAAGATACTAATTGTTTAAAGGATATAGGTGTTATCCCCAAGTGTTGTCAAATAAATGTAGGCGCCCCTTCCTCCCACGCAGAACTCTCAGGAGTCCACGCCTCAACACCCAGACATTCCTTTATCATATACCCAAAACCAAAAAAATCCAAACCAGCTGCTGTCTCATTGACTCTGATTCACGGCAACACCATGCGTGTCAGAGGAGAACTGTGCTTCATAGGGGTTACAATGACTGTGATCTTTCAGAAGTAGATCACCAGGCCTTTCTTCAGCGGTGCCTCTGGGTGGGTTTGAACCACCAATCTTTCGATTAATCTGAGTGCTTAATTGTTTACGCCACCCAGGGACTTTGCATATGTACTCAAATAAACTCCTTATTTGACGCCTTCCCAGAAGCTGCTGGAGCTGAGCTCTCCTGGCCCTCATGAGTGTAGCAGCCCACTGGCTTGTCCTCAGAAGGGTGAGCCGTTTGAGTGGATTTTCATGAGAGATGATGAATCGAGCATCTCTTAAAGCTTAGCAACATGCATTTATAAGTCTAGTGGTAGGAATCAGGGTTCTCTTGTCACTGGCTCTTAAAAGGTGATTGTTCTCGGTCTAACTCTCTCAGTCTAAACCTAACTAACCTAACTGTGGGATCAGACCCATAACCTGACTGTCATTAACATCATCTCCTTACCAAATGCACTGAGCTACTCGGACAGGAAAAAAAAAAGGAGGAAGAGAAAACCTCCAGTGACTTTCTGCTACATCCGGGGTAATGTTAGAATTGCTTAGCCCAAAGCAGAAGGCCCTTTGTGATCTGGCCCCCGCCTCCCTTTCACCTCACATACCACCATTGCCCCCCACATAGCCACAGCTCTTACTGTACCAAACTATTTTCAGACTCTGGGACATGACATGGTTCTTTCACATCTCTCTATGTTTACACCTTCTGTCTTAGTCTCGGTTCCCTAGAGGTGCAAAACCAGTAAGATGTGTGACATATATATATATATATATATATATAAAAGAAAAAGAGAGCGAGACACATTTACTTCAAGGAAGTGGCTCACACAATTGTGGGGGCTGGCAAGTCCCAAAGTTGTGGGTCAGGCAACAGGCTGAAGACCTCTGCTGGCTTATATAGTTGCAGAGGCTAATGAACCCAAAATCTGCAGGTCAGGCAGCAGGCCAGAGACTTTTCAGGCTTACATCACAAGAACCAGAGGTCAGGCGATGAGCAGAGTGCAGGGATGAGAGAGTGAGCTTTGTCAGAGCATCCATTTATATACTGGGGGCAGGCCACACCCCCAGGGAAACGCCCCTTTCAGCTAATTGGCTGATCATATTATATCACATCATGGAAGGTGATGAAATTATATTACATTATGAAAGAGCACCCAGTCCAGTGTCTGCCAAATCACTGAGAATCACAGCCTAACCAAGTTGACACAATATTAACCATCACACCTTCATTTCCTTCTGTTCATAATATCATTCCCTGACTTCTTACCTAGCAAGTTTCTATTGGTTTTTCAAGCCTGGGCTCAGCAGTCATCTTTTCTTGGACTTTTTCCTTTCCCTCTAGACATAACTCTACCAAAGCAGTAGTTATTGGTGTCTCTGCAGCTTGTTCTTTGTGCTTTGTCTATGACTTAATCCCTAGTGCCTAATATGTTGCCCAACATTAGATATTCAATAAGTAGTTATTGAGTTAAATTAGGAGAAACTTCTCAGCAGAAGAGAAGAGTGCTCTTTAGCATTACCAAAAAGAAAAATCAAACTCATTGCCGTTGAGTCAATTCCAACTCATAATGACCCTATAGGGCAGAATAGAACTGCCCCGTAGGGTTTCCAAGGAGCAGCTGGTGGATTTGAACTGCTGACATTTTGGTTAGCAGCTGAACTCTTAACCACTGCACCACCAGGGCTCCTGCTCTTTAGCATTAAGGAAGAACAAGTCTTTGTTATCGCATTGAATACAGACATTTACCCAATGAAATAAACATGCCCAGGATTATATTTTTATTTTTTTAATGTACCAATAGTTTTTGTGTTTAGTTTTTTTTTTTTTTTTTTAAGTCTCCAAACTTACCTTTATTTTCTTCACACAGTTCAGAAACGCCATAATTTAGAATCACGGGAAACACTTTACTAAGTCAATTTGCTATAAAAATCAAGATCCTAAAGTTTTAAAACTTGGAAGACACATTGCTGACCTTTGGAGACAACTGATGTGGTTTGCGTATTTGATTATACTCAGAAAAGTTCCCCAGTAATTATTTATGTTAATTAACTTTAGATGTGGTAATCTAGCTGTCCTTCAGAAACTACAGATATCAAACTATAGCAAATCATCAGTCTAATAGTGAGATCCTATCCCCAGGATATCAAAAAATGTCTTTATATTTATTCTGAAAGATTCCATCAATTTCTGTACAGCTATAATGTTTATATAGTAAAAAGAAGTTTTACTATCTAAACCACAGAAACTTCAAATTTGCTTTAGTGTTTTGCTTTTGCAAGTGTCATTTCTGTTTAAAAATACATCTTAGGTATAGTACTATTTTAGATATTTTTATTTCCTTTAGTGGTGAATTACATGGACAGACTGTATATTTTGTAAATCAGACATTTCTGATGGTAGAAACAATAAAAATGCCTGAATGTGCAGGAATATTCTTCCATGGCACTGACCTGATTCATCTAATACTTCCCCTGAGAAGCTCAAGATTTCAAAGATAAAATCTCAGCTCTCTAATTTGTCTTCCCAACCTGTACAAACCTAAGAAAGAGGAAAGGACTCAGTCATTTCCATTTTCCTGGGGCCACCCTGCAACTTCAGCAGTCATGATGTTTGTGGAACGGTGCGGGCTCTGAGCTCTGTGAGACACCCAGGCTGACCCCAGTGGCATCATTGCTCAGGGCTGCACCCAGCTCAGCACTGTGGCCCATCCATTCAGCACCGAGTCAGCTCACACAGTTAAGGACCTTGTGAAGGTCACAGAGTATCTCAAGGGCTAACCTGGCCAGCAGAGACCTAGGTCTATAATTTCTCATCCCTGTGCTTTGTCTGGAAACCACTCTGATGTTTCCGATTTGCACAGCAACAGTCTGACCTTTGCATTTCTGTCTCCTAAAAGAAAAAACATTGCTGTCGAGTCGATTCCAACTCATAACAACCCTATAGGACTATATAGAACTGTCCCATAGGGTTTCCAAGGAGCAACTGGTGGATTCAAACTGCTGACCTTTTGGTTAGCAGCCAAGCTCTTAATCACTACGCCACCAGGGCTCCTTTCTGTCTTCTAATGGCTTTTAAATATGATCATGCTAAACCACCTGGAGGGAATCTCTGGACAGGGTAAACAGTTAATATGTAGGCTTCTAACCCAAAGGTTGGAGGTTCAAGTCCACCCAGCGGCTCCTTGAGAGAAAAGCCTGGTGATCTGCTTCTGAAAAATTAGCCACTGAAAACCCTTTGGAGCACGGTTCTACTCTGATACACATGGGGAGGCCATGAGTCAGAGCTGATTCATGACAACTGGTTTGTTTTAAACCACCTAGAGAGCACAATGCTGGGGAGTCATTGTCTCACCACCTTTTGTCTTTCTTGATTTGATGATGTTTTCAATTCCGTTGCTTCTTCTATCATCCTATAGCCAAAAAAAAGAAAAGAAATATTGACAGTTGACTCTACTTCAACTGATGTTTGTACCTTTAAGATTTTTTTTTTTTCTTTTATTCTGGTTGTTAGTGACTTGACTGAATTTAGTCATCTAATAACTGGTTACTATGGCTGTACTTTAACCCCAGCACATTTGACTCTCTTTCTCGAGTGGCTTCAAATACGGTGGAGGGAGGAGGGTCAGGGTTGTGCTTGCTGTTTAGCCGGCTGCATTGGCCACTTGCCCTCCCTCTCACTGTATACAATTAGTGTAGGAATTGCTAACATTTTCAGTTATTCTGAAATTAAAATATGGCAAAACTAGAAAGAAACCATAGCAAAGTTCTTTGAGTTCCTCAAAGGGAAAAATATTTTTTACTCCATTATTACTCTAAAATTCAGTATGCTTCTAAGTGTTTAATAATGTACTTTTGCAATTGTGTCTTAGAGACCTTCTAATTCAGCTCCTTATTTCAAAACAGAGGAAACAGAGGTACCTTTTCACTTATTCTATCTTAATTTCTGATGCTGTACCTATAAAAAAATCTTTCAGTTTTGCTCGTAAAAACCTATGTTCTTGTAACTCCTTCAAAATTGAGAGTGTATTCCTGGAGAAACAGACTAATTAAAAGGGATCATTTTTTCTTTCTCATTTTCAATTTTGAAGCCTGTTTGAATTTAATTTATATTTGGAGTGAAAAAGATTTTTCTGAAGCTATGACAAAATCTTAGTTGTGTGTGTGTGTAT